CAGTTGTTCCACGTACACAAAGTTTGAGTTTCCATGTGACACTTGTGTCTGTGTTTTAGTCTGAGCTGTTGTAGTGTGACATTTATGCAAAAAACTGTTTACTGCCTTTTAGAGCACGTATGTGCGTAGCTTGAAACAGGAATCTTGCTTTCCTATTTTGAATTTTGCTTCTGTGGCAGCAAATTGGCTTTTCCTTTAGCAGCCAGTATACCCACTCTCTTGTTTCCTCAAAAACCACATACCAGTAAACATAATACAAAACACCTTCAGTTCCTGGTTTTTCACTTGTGTTTTGTATATTATCAATCTAACCCAAAAGCTTAGTAAGCTTAGTACAAAACTCTTTTTTTTTTTTTTCCTTTTAGCTTTGATATGTTCTCAAAAAGCAGTTACCAGTGTCTGGGCAAAACAGTCTTCTGTTATAGTGCAGTATCTTAACTGCACCTGGTCTCTGCATATGGGGTGTCTTGTGGCATTATTAGCAGATTCCTTGCATGTGGAGATCTGATGCAAGGAATTCAGTGACTGAAATTGTGGCAGGTACAAGAGCAGATTGGGTCACGAATCAGGACGACTGTTCTCTGAAGCTATTTACCTGAGCCTGCAGGACCAGACATTTGAGAAAACTGAGAAACTTCTGCAACTGGAGGATTGTAAGAGGATTATTAGAGATTTGTATTTCGTTGGTCAGAGATGTGAGGAGTTGGAGCAACAGAGTGTTATTTTGTTGTGGGTATTTTCTAGAAATGAAGACTTGGTTTTTTTTTTTTTTTTTTTTTTTTTTTTTTTTTTTTTTTTTNTTTTTTTTTTTTTTTTGAAAAAGAATGTTTCATTTCTTGATTCCTGCATATGTTTCTAAGGTATTCCTTTATGAGGTTCTACCATACAAACGTAGTACATAGAAAATGATCTCATTGTAGACCTAACATATGCTCCCTTATCTCTGCAGCTATCATTTTCTGGCAGTGTATTACTCAAAAAGGCTTTTGTGCTTAGAAGTGTCATCAGAGAGAAACTGTGCAACCTCAAAGTCAGAAATATTTCTAAAGGTTAGATTGCTAAATTAGAATCTTCTTAAGAACACTGTAAGATTTACAAGAAAAAAGTCACAGACCTAACAGTTTGAAAGGCTATAAAGGATGATTGCCTGACTTTTTTTTTTTTCCTTTATGTAAAATCTGATTCATCTGAAACCTGGGTTTATCATGATCAAAATACTGTTTCCTTGGAAACATTCCATAAAATTAAACTTGTTTTCAGTTTGAAATGAAAGACTCAAACTGTCTATGGCATATTTTGAAACACTTAAATAGAAAAAAAATTAATAGCTCATATCTTATTGTGATTGTGTAGACAATTAGACTCTTGGATTACCATATTCCTGCAAAATTTTGGGTACAGATTAACTGTATGGAAGATGACATTTAGGCACCTTGTTAATGTGCTGTATTTCTGACCTTAAAATATAGCGTTTGGGAGGACAGAGTGGCAGTGGTAGGAGGACATTATTTGAACGTCTAGATTTGCAAGTTGGTCGATCGCAAAGCCTGTTAAAATGTCACTTAGTCTTAAAATCCTTACAGATTCTGCAGCTTTTCTTTTCTGCTTTTACCTTTTTGCTTATCTACTTATCTGGCAGTAAAACAAACAGCAGCCACCGACATATATAATAAAAGACATGTAACTGACATTTCTCAGAGTATGTATTTTTTCCCTTAGTTGTCAGCTGATGTGGTCAGGATGTTAGCAGTTGTTTTGTGGGTGTAAAATGTCTTTGCTTCGACTCAACTGCCTTAGATTTCTTACAGAAGATTTGGTAACTTAGGCTTTACCTCTGATGTAGAGTCATGTTGCTTTAGATTTGTAGCCTGTGAGTGGAAATATTAAATATTTCTTAAATATATTTTATATAGTATATTATCCAGATACCAGCTTGATTATTTTTTATCATTATCAAATATCATTAGCTCTCCCAGTTACACTATCTTTAATGTAGCTTGCAGGCCTAGGGAAAGCAGGGATTTGACTTTATGGACACTGAGCTTTCTTAGAAAATTCAGAGTAGAGGGGCTTTTTTTTCTTTTTTTTCTTTTATTTTTTCTCCTTTTTTTTTTCCTTAAGCTTATGTCTAAGTATTTTATTGGCCTTTACAAATTGGGTGGAATATTTATTTATTCTTTTTAGCAAGAGAAGTGAAGTTTAGCACTTGAATTCATCTTTAGCATTACTGTATTTTCAAAGGTACCTGTGATTTAATAGAATTCTTGAGATGTTGAATTAAGATTTTAAGGAGCAGGGTGAACAGTGTATAGTTATCTGAATTCTGGTTATCATTGTTGACTTCTACAATTGAAAATTTTATGTACGTTTTCCACACAGTGGTAAAAACAAAACAAAATGCCTTAGTTTCAAGTAGAAATGAGAATTGTAAGTCCTACATGAATGCTGTTCATTGTTATTCTTTTTCCATAGCTGTGTCCAGTTCTTTACTAGTTCTTGTTACTAATTTTTCTTTTTCTTTCCCTTTTTTTTTTCCAGTTTATTTTTGTATTTCTCACACTTGGGCGTCTTGGGCATCTACATAGAAGCCCTAGACCCCAGCAAAAATGGGTGAATTTAGCACTTTGAATGAAAAAACGCTTGAAAATTGTTACTGTGAGGTTGCTGCTTCTCATATTTCGTTGCAAGGAAGCAGAGGCTTTTCTGTCTATGATAGTGGAAAAACATGGTATCATTATATGTGTTTGGTATTTACTTTGTGGCAAGAAGCTGAATCTTGCTCTAATTTTAGACTTCTGTAGTTTTGAAGTATTCTGCAGAATTTGCAAGTGGCTTGCAGTTGTGGAGTGTCAGCTCAACGCTATGCTGAGATTTTACAATGAAAACCTGGAACTAGAGTGAACCCAATTGGAAAGGGAAGATAAAGAGTACTTGAGATGCTCTGGCTTCCCTGGCCCTTAATTCGCATTTGGAGAGACTTTCAATCCATGTTCAGCTTTGCTCTTTTATTTTAGCCTCTACTCGCTTGACTTCATGAATCCCGCAACTCGAGCTCGTTACACATTTTTATTTATAGCTTTATCGGCTACTTAAAGACTTGAGCGGTTTGATGAGGTGCTGAGTAGCTGCAGGGGTGACCAAAATGCCCCCCTAGGCTGAGCCTGGGTGTGGGCATGTCCAGGCTCTCCCACTGAGTATCACCTGGGCTGGGACACCCTCCTGTCCTGTTTTGGCATAAATGTAATCTATGTCTTGGAAGACGCTTATATCTGAAGGAAAATCCACTGTTTGCATATTAGTGTCAGCTAGAACCTTGGTGTTTTAACCTATGGTGATCAATTTCTATATAACCTTAATCCTGTATCTGTAAGAATACAGAAATAAACTTAATAAGTATGGCTCACCTTGAAAGACTTGCAGTTGATGGACTTGTTTCTAAAAGTTACCTATTTAAAAAAAAAAAATAATGTCCTTCAATTCGTTTGCAAGAAACTTTAAAGCAATTTGCAGCCTCTTCACGGGTCCCTCGGGTCAAACTCTCGATTTCCTCAGTAACAATTCTGCTTTATTGTCCAAGCTGAAATGTTGGGCTTTTCCACTTGCTGCTTTCATTTATAATTGTTCCGTTGACTCTGCTGTTGGAAGGGTGTCTCAGTAATGTAATTACCTCTGCAGAAGAGACTAATCCTTTTGTTTGTTGCCCTTTGCTTCAGCTCTGCAGCTACTTCAAGTGGAGCATCTTCTATATACAATTTTTGAGGTTTCAGTAGGTTTGTTGGGGAGATGTGTGTATAAGTTAAAAAATGTGAGAAAGCAGAAAGCCTTTTACACAATTAAGCATGTGACTTACATGATTTCCTACCCTGTTTTATTCTGTATGTAGTTAGTGTGTAGTTAACAAGTTAACCTGTACTTGCTGGCAGAATGATTCCCTAAAACTACATCCATCTTGATGAGAATCTCAAGGTCATATTTGAAGTCTTAAAACTGTTTCAGATTGGCACAAAGGCATATGTTCTGTTTCATACAGCTTATTTCACCATAGGTTTGTGTTAACCAGTTAGAGCCAGTGTCAAAATGAGCAGTATGTTTTGGTAAATGAGGAAATGTTAGGTTAGGTGATCTTTGAACACTTGCTTCAGTTACTGATTTGGATTTTTTTTGAGCGAAAGTCTAGCCCTTCATTATGCTGTCCAGCTTTTTTCTGTCATCTTGGGCATGAAATGACTTTTAATAAATAGATATAAAACAGATTTCACTGTTTTCAAGTAGTGTGAGTCAAGGACAAAATTGCGATGTTTGGACTTTGCAGTATTTTTTTTTTTCTTAAATAGTTAAAAAAATATTTGATGCTTTTTTTAAATGTAATCTTCATGAAGCTGACTTTTGGACTTTATTTACCTAGCAATTTGATTGGATTTAAGATTATTGATTGGTGCAGTTGCCAGCAGCTACATTGCCAACATGGACTAGTTTGCCAACAGCTCGGTAGGGCAGGCAGGATATTTCTGCAGGTAGCCTCGTGCTCTGTGCCCCAGGCCTGCGACTGTCTTTTTGACAAGGATACATTTTGCTGCGGAAATAATACAGGTTTTTGCATGTATTTTTTTAAAATAAATAATTTCAAGTTGTCTACCGAGGGTGATGGGGTGATGAAATTGCCTTGTGTAGGGTTTTACCCCTTCCAGAATGAGAAGTGGCCTTGGGTATTCCTCAGCCCCACGCCACGGGTTATCCCTGCCATCAGTGCTCTCTGCAGCTAACCCAAAATGCCTGAAGGAGGAGAAAGTTGTCCTGCAGAGAAAGGATCTGTCTCTAATAAACCATGTAAAACAGGAATGACTTCGCTGATCGGTTCCCTTGCGTTTATGCCAACGTTAAATGGTCTCTCAGCAGCTTAATTAGTACTTGATTAATCAATGGAGTTTCTTGGCAATATCCTGCACGTACACAGGTTTTTGTTAAGAGATAGATTCATTTATTCTTTCATTTTTTTACAGTTACATGGGAATTGGGCTTTCGGCACAGGGTGTGAACATGAACAGACTACCAGGTATGTTTTAGTATTTATTATCTGTAGTGCATTACTTATATTGCTTAATTTTGTTTGTTTTTGAAATGTGTTTGACTTTGGGAAGGTTGTGGTAAGTGCTAGTGAGCATAGCTCTACATTATATTTATTTATATGCATTATGTAAAGCATCTTAGTGTTACTTAAAATGCTATGCAGCATCTTTACACCAAACAAATATATTTTGAAATTTCAGTCATGGTTTCTGATAAAAAAGATGGAGCTATAGAACATTTCCTTACTCTGCAAAATGAATCTTAAATAATAAGGGTGAGCTGCTGTGATAAATTTTCTTGTCGAGCATAAAGTGAGATTTGCAGTCGCTTTCAGTAGCGTTACCTTTCCAGCTTTAATGGCCAGGCTGTGCAGGGAATTTTTAAGTGTTTGCTTTCAGTTCATTTAAATGATCAAGGAAGCTTTCCTGACTAGTATGTGGTATCTCTGTATAGTATTTAAAGATGTCCTCCATGTGAGCATGTTTATTTCAATTCATATTAGTAAAGGAGAGTGTTTTTTAGAACATGCTGCTATTAACCAAGTATAATGTTATGCTGAAATGATCTTAAATATCAGTATTCTTTCTTTTGCATTTTTAATTTCTCGCTCAGCTGCTCTGCTAGAGACCCTTATAGTAATGGCAAATTCCAGATACACTTATTAGCACATATAATGGCAATGAGTTATTAGTGCGTGACCTTCTTCTGAGTAAGATTTATGATGCAATGCAAATAATTTATCAAAGATACTATTAATCAATATAACTGAAATAATTTTTGGTAGCTAACTTACTGAGAGATACTTATTGTGTGTGTAAATCTCATGGATCATACTGACTAAGAGCCCACCTAAGGATGGAAATACTTCCAAATTAAACTAGTTGCTGCAGCTTGGCAGAGTTGTGTGGGGGAAACTCACAGCCCTCTTATTGTTAAAAATATGTAAAGTTGTCGGTATCAGTTGTCATACTCAGAATGCATATTACCCTATGAAATCTGAAAATTTGTGCTAAGGTTGTGCTTTTGCTCAGTCTTTAATGTCATGGTAATATATTCACTGAAGTCATATCCCTTAATCCAGACCCTTCAGTTTTCTCAATGGGTATGGAAATTGGATTGGAATTTGGGTTGTGGTTTCTTTGTATTATTTTGAAAAGGCATTTGATAGATCTCTTGGGAAGATACTGTAATGCATAAAAGTTCTCCTCTCTACTAAGTAGTTTTTACTTAGTACCGCGCTACAAAGAGTCCAGACAAGGATTTTTAAATGAACTCAGACTACAATTGCTTGCTGACTAATATTTCATTAAATGTAATTGTATGAAGCTTCTTAACTGGTTCTGCAGCTTCTTCCCCTGCAAAATGAGCACTATATTTGTACACATCTTGCTTTGCTGGCCGTGGCTTTCACGTCTTTGGGGCAGTTTTATCTCTTCTTCTTCTCCCCACTTTTAGCATTTTTGAGGCAGCGAAGCTAGTGGCTCTGTGGTCTAGAGGCAGCTCTTCTGAAGAGTGCTACTTGCTGCTGAGCAGTCATGAGGAGTAATCAGGAGAAGTGCCTTTCCCAAAACATGCCTGTTTGGGCTTTAGCCAGGAAGAATGTGATTATGACATACGGCTGCAAGAGTTTTGCAGGATGAAAGGGAGAACAAGAGGAATCGTCACCGCTTTACTGGGACGCGTCAGATCTGCAGATAGCTTTTCAAATTTGAATGTTGTGCCTGATCGTGTTTTCAGCATTGCTCATTTTGCAAGTTTGCTTAAAGAGAAAAGCAGGTCTTTTTCCTGACTTGCTGTTATTCGCGGGGTGCTACAAATGGAACTGCCTGCTCAGCCATCTTGATAGGAGAAGTTGTCTTTTTGTGGAAACACATTTGTTAAGAAATTTTAGCAACCAGAAAGCTGAGCATGTTAATTAACTTTATTAGCTTGGATTGGAATATACTCACTTAAAGGCGGACGTCTGAAATGCTCTGTTCCCTAGGTTGGGATAAGCATTCATATGGTTACCATGGCGATGACGGACATTCGTTCTGTTCCTCCGGAACCGGACAACCTTACGGCCCCACGTTTACCACGGGTGACGTCATCGGTTGTTGCGTCAACCTCATCAATAACACCTGCTTCTACACCAAGAACGGACACAGCTTGGGTATGGAGAAACACTGTCCTTAATGTTAGCGTTTTGTAAAGCTGGTGCTTTTCCGGAAGTTTTAGATCGGGAGCTCTCTTCCAGGTGTTTGGATAGGTCTTTTAATAGTCCTGTAATCTATGGATTAATTACAGAAGTGGGAAGAATGATTCTGTATGTTCCTTCTGCACATTTTCCTTGTGAATTTGGAGGGGTTCACCATGGCATCTTATTACATTGGATCTCTATTTATGAACTCAGGGCTACTGAGGGGACTAGTTTGATGCTTAAAATGTACAGTAATTCTTGTCAGAATTTGTACTGGTTAAGCCCAAGCCTGTGGGTTTGTTCTCCTTTATAAGTACATATGTAAGCAGGTTGGAGCAAGACTGCCAATCTGTCTTCTGGACCAAAGAGAATGGGGATAACTTTAAAAGTTGGTGCTGCTATATGGGGAGCCTGTCGCCTCCTCTACAACCTTTAAATTGAATGGACATTATTTTAAACATCCGTTAAGGAAATGTCTTTTGTATTCCCAGTCTGGAACCATGCATAGTTGAGATAAAGCCGTGAATTACACAGTTTTTCCTGAAATCAAGTCCATTGGGTCTTTGTGATGAATTTTAGCATTGCGCAGCATTGCAAGACAATTTTTAATTTGAAGGCTGGGATGGGAGTGTAGTTTTTTGATGCACTCTGTGATAATTCAGTAGCTGCATGCGATTTAATCAGCAAAGGCATATGTTGTGGGAAAAGAACGTCCATTTCCTGCATTAAGGATAAGCCAGAGCGTTGGGGCTTTGTGAATAGATCTTGGAAGTGCATTGGAAGAAGCGGAAAATTCCAAGGAATCAGGCTTAGAAAGAAAAAGAATTTTTTTCAGGGGTAATGACACGGATGATAGGGGAAGGTGGTAAGAAGAAGAAGAAGGTCTAGGTTGGAATGAAGTAAGATGTTATTGAGCTATGGACTCTTAAAATGAGGTCAATGATCTGTGTTCTACCACTTCCAAATACGAGGGCAGGTTGGTAACTTGTAAGGGAGTGACGTGATTTAAATTATTCTCCTCATTTCTCAGAGCAAGACTCAGCTCGCTCCGGCCCTGAGCAACGTGGTCTAACTTTGGAGTTGCACAGTCTTCTTCTTAGAACCAAGCTTAGATGCCTCCAAAGGTTCCTTCCGATGGAACCATTCCCTGATCCTGTTATGAGGCTAAATGTTCTTGTCATTTCAATGTGTACCTGGAGTTGATACCTTACCAGCTGTTAAATGCTGAGGGCAGTGGGACACAGTCTTCTCTATTGGCCCTATTCCAGGCAATACATTAAAATTGAAGATAGGGGTTCATGTCTCGTTTACCAAAGTGCTTAACTGGTGGGTTAGAGCTGAGAGTGGGAGCCAGCTGCTCCTGTGCTTGGAGCTAGTGATGTTTTGCCACAGGTAAGTTGGGTCAGATTCTTTTGATCAGCCCAAAAGCTCATGGTTTTCTGACTGTGCTTGGGGTTATGTGCATGGAAGAGCTAATAAGTAAGAAGGAACCAAGCCTCCTCCCTCCCTGGAAGCCTTCAATTGGATTGGATTAGGCCAACTGTGAAATAACACGTATTAAAATGCGTTCCAAAGGGAAGCTGAATGGCGTAGTTGAGGAGAGGCCAGTAAAATGGTATCTGTCATAGGGACAGCCTGACAAACATTTCAGAATTTCAGAAGGAAGCCGGGCAGCTCTTTGCTGTTGCTTGACTTCGCTAACTTGCCTCTCTGATGTGAGCTTGCCTCTGTGTTAGGGGGAAAAATCTGGTCGTCTTTCCAAGCTGTTGTTGCTACTCATTGTCCAAAATTCCCGTAAAATCATGACTTGGGACACTGAGGTTTCTTTTGCAGACCATAGATGTAGCCATTCACTCAGCTCTGTGTTTGACACTGCAGAAAGTGCTGGCAGAAAGAGTTGTGACCTGAACTTGGAGTGTACCTTAACCCTCTGCTTAAAGGGGTGGAAATTGCCACTTGATCATCACTTATCCATGCTGGCAACTGCCGTGGTCATTTTGGATGAGGATGAGTTGGATGTCAAAACTTCTGGCTAGACAGAGCAGTGATAGCTTGCAAAAAAATGGGGATGTGAAGAGGTAATAAGTAGAATGATAGAGTTGGAGTGAGTTTGGAAGAAACAGAAAGATTTAGTCAATTCATCGCTCAGACAGCAAAAATGTGAGTAAAGAATCCAGCCACTATTGAGATTTGAGGTCTTGCTGAAGAGTGAAGATATAGAAAGCAGGGGTGGGATTTAGGACAGAAGGTAAAAAGCTTTGTTTTAATCTTAAATTGGAAATGACATTTCTATAAAACAAATACAAGCTTGAAGAGAAGAATAGATTTGAATCATTGCGTACAAGTAAAGTTGAAGAAATATATGCAGCATTGAGATTTGAGGTCTTGCTGAAGAGTGAAGATATAGAAAGCAGGGGTGGGATTTAGGACAGAAGGTAAAAAGCTTTGTTTTAATCTTAAATTGGAAATGACATTTCTATAAAACAAATACAAGCTTGAAGAGAAGAATAGATTTGAATCATTGCGTACAAGTAAAGTTGAAGAAATATATGCAGCATTGAAGGAAATTCTGAAGTAATGTGTGACTGTTTGGCTGTCAGAAGTAGAGTTCCTCTTACTCGTAGCTCAAAGCTGTTCTTTCTAGATTCCTTTCCTGGATATGTGGATATTTAAATATGGATATTTAAGTTCCTGGATATGTGGAGGACTCTCTTATTCTTTAATCCCGAGTCAGCAAAATGACCTTCTGCGATTTATGGCTGGCTGGATGTTTGTGATTATGTAACAGGATATGGAACCACCTTGTTCAAAGACCAAAACGTTCCCATGTGGATTAGAGCGCCTTGTTAGGCTGGTTTAGAGTATTACAGATACGTAATCCTCCACGTAAACATAATGACTGCTTGGGAAGAGCCAAGAAAGACACCACAGACAGCTTCTCCATACTGAGATATGCAAGTGCAGAAAGATCTTTATTTTCTTTACATGTAAATACCCAAATTTTAAAGCTTTCTAGTCTGCATATCCATATGATAGTTCTGAGTTTTTGCCCTACTTTGAAAATAGGTGTGCCTTTGAATTAAAAGCATTTTTTGCCAAATGATGCCCTGTTTTACTTAAAAACAGCGGTACCCAGGCATCATGGATATCATCACACTTCAGTACTTATTTTTCAATGTTTGGGGGAGTTTTCTAGACAAATAATGATCTACTTTAGAAGATCAGGCTAGAATTCAGACATATGGAAACTAATCTTAATTTTATCTTCGTTACAGGCATCGCTTTCACAGACTTACCGGTAAGATAAGTGCATTTTCAAATGGCTGATAATGATGTGTAATATAAAGTGGTGTTTCACATGTATCCTGTGCTTGGAAACACAATGACAATCCGTGTAATATTAGATGCTTATCACCAATGAATGTTTGTTAATTCAAGTGAAGAGTATTTTGTTCTTACAGCAGTCCTCATGCAGGGATGGGAGGGAAAGTGTTCCTGTTCAATCAGAATTCCCTGAATTTACATCTGAAGTTTACCAGAAAGTAGTATATTCAATTACTTGCTGCTTGCTTTGACAGATGCAGGCCCTATGGCCAAGGTTAAAGCACCAACATTGTGCACATTCACAGAGCTGTATATCATCACAGTCACATATATATCATCACAGGAAAGTTGGCTGCTTCAGACAGTAATTATTTTAGCTCCTGCTTGATGGCTAGATTGCAAAATCTTTTTCTGTTCTGTTTATTCTATAACATGGAACATGTGAAAATATATATTTTTTAATTACTTTAAGACGCATAGATGCCCAAAGCCTTTTCAGTGGAATTGTGCTTAACTCATTCTGCACGTGTGCTCTGTGCCCGATGCTGCGCTTGCCTTGCTCTTCTGCTCCCCGTGGCTTCAGGTTTGCTGGGCCGGGCTGCAGCGCGGCAGGCGGCTCCGCGCGGGCAGCACTCGGGCACCGCGACATTTCCGAGCTGGGCTCCTCGCTACCGTCCACTGAGCAGCTTCTCTTGCTGCATTGCCTGGTCTAGACCATGAAAATGTTCATTTCTCGTTTCTTTTTATTTGTTTTTATAAGAAGGCTTTGTTACGGCTTTACCAACCAGAATATTCTTCTTGGCTTCACTGGGGTTCTGTGTTCCTAGTGACCTGCGTGTCAATGTGTTTCCCCCTGATAGCTGAAAGTCAGTTATATTAATAGTTACTATATGCAAATATGCTATAGTTAAGCATACTATATATTAATAGTATGCTTATCTGTAGGATGATCCTTTCATTGAAGTGTAAATCTGATGTATATTTAAATAAAAACATTCACTTTGCCGTTGCTCAGGTGCTACTCACGTTTAAGTTACTTCAATCCCATCAAGCAGATTTTACTCTTATTTGGCATATTTAAAATTTGCAGTGAGTCCTGATCTCCGAGGAGAAAGTAAAACTAAACCCACAATAAATGCTTTAAAGTCTTTTTTTAGATACAAGTCCAGGAATTCACGAGAACTTCAATGCACTGTCACAGTTCCTTTTAGGCGCCACACTGGACTTTGAGGCTAATGAGTTCTCTATCCTGTCAATTCTTACTGCTAAAAATCAGCGATGTTTTAAGTATTTCACCCCAAAAGGAAAATGGCCCACTTTGTAAGTTTAATTTTTGTTCTCTTTTTAAAAGAAACTTTAATCCAGCTCTTTAAAAAAGCATTTAAAGAAATATTTAATATTCTGTGTAATTGAACCCGAAGTTGTAAACTTGAGCAGTTTTAAAAAACTACATTTTCAGACTAGAACAAGAATTATCAGTAGGGCTTTTTTATTTCAAAGAACTTCGACCATTGGGAATAAAATGTATCAGTGCTTGTACTGCTGAGCTGGTATAAGTTCCTTTAACCACTGGACAGATGACCCAGTGGTGTTTCTTTCTACACAGCACTAGTAACATTGGGGATATTAGAGAGTTGGGAAAAAAATGGGGAATGGAGAATAATAGGAAAAACTAACCAAAAAATGTCTTGCAGCCAAACTTGTACCCTACAGTAGGCCTTCAAACACCAGGAGAGGTGGTGGATGCTAATTTTGGACAACACCCATTTGTATTTGATATTGAAGACTACATGCGAGAATGGAGAACCAAAATTCAAGCCCAGATTGACAGATTTCCAATAGGAGATCGGGAAGGAGAGTGGCAGACAATGATTCAGAAGTAAGGGTTTGTATACTGTTGTTTCAAGTGTTTGTCCTGGGTGAGTTCAGAGCTTTTCAAGGCGTCTTTTCTCTTTCTTGACCATGCAAATCATATTAAAAATTAGTGAGAATAGTTTCACTGACATCTTCAGAGTTATCTGTAGCATTACTTAAAAATTTGTAACAATGAATGTGAATCGTTTAAATTTGGGACTAATTTGGGTTGGTGAGATTAGAAAAAATGCCATGATCAAAGCTGGCAGTTTGGATACTTCATGCTCTGGAAATAATTTCTCTTTCCTTCCCGCTGTGGCACGCTGCCGTATGGGTTGGAAAAAATGGTCGTTTTTGCTTTGTGTTTTTCACTTCAGTAAAAAGAGTCAATCAAAAAAAAAGTTTTATTTCTATATATACAATGAAAAATAAAGAATAGTTGGAGGTAATATTGTCATTGGTCCTACCTTTGGGTAATGACAAATTTATAGAAATTCGTCACAATAGACCTCACCTTTCTGGTGGAGGTTTGTTTGTTAGTTTGTTTTCCCACAGCATTTTGGAGAAGATGCTGGCTCGCAATTAACCAATTTGGTTTTTTTTTTTCTGACTGCTTTAGAAATGTCTTGACTTTCAAATAGAATTTAATTAATTTACTGTTTTTTTCCAGGAAAGGAGTCTTGCATTCAGGAAGTCCTCTGCTTCTTACCTGCTGCTAATGAGCGTTTCTGAGCTTTGTTTTTGTTTATTTTTAGAATGGTCTCCTCTTACTTAGTTCACCATGGCTACTGTGCAACAGCAGAGGCATTCGCCAGGTCCACAGACCAGACTGTGCTAGAAGAATTAGCTTCCATTAAAAATAGACAAAGTAAGGCTGTAAAGCTCGTTGCATCCTTTTCCTTTTGCTGCTTGAACACATTTAACCTGCCACTTTCTCTTAAACACTTTTTGTAGAAATTTCTTCCAGCATTTCTCTGTAGTCCAGTTCATTGCTTTCATCTAAAATTGCACATTTATGAACGATTAAGATGAACTTCTGCATTGATAGTTTTGGGATTTGTTTAGCATAGAGAAATGTGGAACGCTACCAGTTGTGTGTCTCTTGAATGGAAAATGGTGATTTGTCTTCAACGTGTCTAATGTCTTCTAATGTCTCCTGAATCGTGTTTGTGAGAGCTAATGGTCAGTCACGAATAGGAATGCAAAGTATAGTCTTGACAAAAGTTGAGACTTTCAGCTCAACTATGAAAAGTAGTAGAGTTTAGAGAATATTTCTGTGTCAAAAAAAAAGTTTTGTATTTTCAAATCCGCAATTGTAAAGGGGGGAAAAAGATGAGGGAAAAATAACTTTAATTGTTGAGTTCTGTTTGGCAACCTGATTAAAACGGTGCCTTCTCCATTCACGCAGGCCCCTGCTGCAAGAGCACGGGCGTTTCTGTGACTGTGGCACAGAGCAAATTGGGATTTCCTTGGTCAGAATTGAACCTGTGGGGATGGGCTGTTATCTGGAGGGTCTTGGGTGACCCTAGTTGGCCGTGTGCTTATTTGTAGTGGTATGAAAATGAGTCTGTAATCTTAATCCAGCTCTAAAGGAGCAATTTGAGTCCAAGGTAGTTAGACCCTGGCACTAAACAACAGTATTTAATGAGGAGGCCTTTAAGTATTTGTAGCTGAACTGCAGATTTTTTAAGTTTCCCTGGTGAACGTTTTAAGGAATGGTTTGTGGTCTGTCTTTACACTTCTTTTTTTTCTAAAAGGGAAAACCTGTTGATTGATGCTTGCAGTGTCTTTAATCATTTGTTTATATGTGTTAATCCTTAAGATGTCCTTTTAAACTGATGTTGTTTTTGATGAAAAGAAATTCAGACATTGTTTTTGGCAGGATGAATGGAGAACCCATTGAAACAACATAACAGCTGTATCCAAGTTTACTAGAAAAAAATCCTAATCTCTTATTTGTTTTTTGGTGAACAGGAATTCAGAAATTGGTTTTAGCAGGAAGAATGGGAGAAGCCATTGAAACAACACAACAGTTGTATCCAAGTTTACTAGAAAGAAATCCTAATCTCTTATTTGCATTAAAGTGAGTCTTCAAATTCTACAGATGTGTGTTTATAGATGACACAGTACCTCTGGGACTAGACAGTTACTCATTTAAAGCTTTCGCAGAAACTTAAGCAGCATTTTTAGCAAATGTATTTAGTTCACTTTTTCTTTGTGCTCTATTTGCTACATACTCAGTTAGGTTTTGTCATTGAGGTTCTATGTTTTGCAGCATAATTTCCATCTCAGTGCCAAGTTGTCCTCTAGCGCTGTTTTAAAAATCATGTTTAATACATATAGAAGTTACCGCATTTGAGGCCTTTGAGCCCTGTCGCGTGAGCTGGTCCCTTCCTCTGGATGCCTGGCTTTACAGAGCGGGTTAAATCAACGACGAGCTGTTTCGAAAGCTCCTTCCCAAAGAGCTGCCTTGGCTCCCCAGCACACGTTCTCCTCGGCTCCTCCTGGCTTTTCCTGCATGCCAGCTGCACTGCTGCTCCAGAATTTGGTATCATGTTGTAAAATCTGGTGCCAAACAAAAACAAACTGTTAGCAAACAAGGGCACAGTAATACGATGTTATGTACCATTTGGTACGGAACTTAGAAGGTAGATTATGAAATCTGTCGTACTCGAGTGCGGAGCAGAATTCACACGAAGCTGTTGTGAGTTTTATCACAGAGCTCCTGGGCCTTTTCACATGAACCTCCTCCCGGTGAAAACCAGGACCTGTTGTTCAAACTGTGCTGCTTTTATTAAGACAGTCCAAATCTAAACATCAGGCAGTATTTCTGAATTTCATCAGAGTCCATAATAAAACTCATATAAAGTAATTTGTCAAAAAGGAACAGCCTCTAAGGGGAAGGTTTGTATATGAGCTTGCTTTTCTTTCGAAACTTTTCCAGTGCAGATGTTTAATGTTAAGCCTCATCACTGTAACACTTACCGTTCCAGACATTTACTTTGAGAGAAATGACTCAGGACTGCATAACTTCATATCCTTCTCAAGGAATAACATTGCCCCTGCCAGTAAAACAGAACAGTTTAAAAAAAAAAAAAAAAAAACTTTACTTTTCTGAGGGCTTAGCTTTACTGCTGAAATCAGGCCTTGAAGATAAGGTTCCTGTTTTTCTCCCTCGCAAATTTATCAATTTTATATTTTGACCAAACACTCTTAAGCTTCTCGAAGATTGGGTCACTGACATGCAGTATTTGGGGTTTTCTTAAACACTCCTTGCATATTTTACACTAAAATAATTGCTTTCATTGGTGAGCGGAGAGGCACGAGTGGCTCGTTGACCTGACTGCTCTGTCTTTTGTTCAGGGTGCGCCAGTTCATAGAGATGGTGAATGGGACCGACAGCGAGGTGCGGTGTCTGGGAGGCCACAGCCCGAAATCCCAGGACAGTTACCCGGTTAGCCCCCGGTCATTTAGTAGTCCTAGCATGAGCCCCAGCCATGGAATGAATATTCACAGTTTGGCAGCAGGAAAAGGGAGCAGCACACACTTTCCTGGTAAGTTGCCTTGGAGAATGGACCACGTATGTGGGGCTTTGTCTGTAATTGGGAGTCCTGGGAAGAGTTAAATACTAAACCTTAGAATCACAGAATGCTTAAAGTTGGAAGGGACCTCAGAGATCATCTAATCCAACCCCCCTGCTCACACAGGGACACCCAGAGCACATGGCACAGGGCTGCATGCAAGGGGGTTTTAAAGATCTCTGGAGAGGGAGATTCCACAACTTCTCTGGGCAGCCTGTGCCAGGGCTCTGTCACCCTCACTGTTAAGAAATTTTTTCTTAAGTTCCTGTGGAACTTTTGGTGCTTCAGCTTGTGGCCATAATAAAGGCTAAGTCTTTCAGACTGATTATTGGTTTTACTTCAGAATTGAGGCTGAATTCTTTCAGAATTCAGAACTACTCAAAAAGAGTATTTTTAACGATGTAAAATACGTATCCTCAGTCGCTTGAGAAATGGGAAGTGTATAAATGGAGTCAAATCTCTCTTGCATCTGTCCTTGCTTTTACTAAGCATTTGCAAGGTAGGATTTTATAAAATGCTTTTAAGGAAGGATTGTGTGTGTCGGGGGGGTTCCAAGGTGAGCGCCTGTTGTCCTTGGGGTGGGAACTTGTGCTGCAGGCAGAGTGATGTAAATGCCATAGGCTGTGTGGGGTGGCAATCGGGGACATGTCTGAGATGTCCCCGAAGGCAAAAAGGGCAAATCTAACAAGCCCTCCCTGGGACCTGTGTCTGAATTAGCAGATCCTGGGCAGCTCTGCATTGGGATTTGATGCAACTGGGAATTACACGTTTGCTTCAAGTATCAGTTTATTCATCATGTTTTGGAAAGGTCGGATGAGCTATTAGGCAGTATTTGAACAATACAGTATAGTTTTATTTAGCAAAGCATAGTATTAGCAATTAAAGTAATTATATAGGGGAGAGGGGATGCTATGTAAGTATAGCAACATATGAAGTGTTTTCAGCGCTGAATGTTATTTTCTATTGATCAGGGGAGTTATATGCTTAAGAATTAGTAAGATGAATGTCTACTTCCATTCCTAAAGGTTGCACTGGACGAGACAAGATTTTGCAGGAGTGGTGTATCCCTTCTGGCTATCCAGTTCTATATTCTCCAGATACTTACGCCCGTTTCACTTGCACAAATCACTTGTTACAGATGGGTTTGTAAATAATTACAGTTGGGTGAACTTCTTCCTTTCAGGTTTTGAAAGTAGTTGCAGTAATGGAGTAATATCCAACAAAGCGCATCAGTCTTACTGTCACAGTAAACACACGAGCACCAGCTTGAATGTACCAGAGCTCAACAACATAAACGTATCCAGATCGCAGCAGGTTAACAGCTACTCCAGGTGAGTCACGCCCAGATGGTCCCGACTTACCTCCGTGCTCCGGTTCCCCTGGCTTTGTAGAGCAGACGGGAGGGCTCAGTGGGATGCGACTTTCCTTTGGAAGGAGAGTTGAAAGGAGCACCGGAGGATGTAGAGCCCTGTGGCTCCTCAGCTCCCTAACGCACTCAGGCCAGCGGGGTTTGTGGTAAACGCACTGCTGTGTGTTCCTGCTTGCTTAAAAGAAATGCAGGAGGCAAAAAAAAATTGCTTATAGCAAGCCATGGCCGGGTATGAAGTTGTATAGGGGAGATGAACGAGCTCCTAAGCACTTGGGATTTTAGTTTAAAACACTGTCAATAATTTTAGTCCCTTGAGAACACACTGGTTTTTATGGAAGGGGAGTAGCCAAGAGTGCTGTTCTTGCAGGAGTTACCCAGTGCTGACTGAATAGGATAGGAAATAGTTTGGGTAATGAGAAGCTATTTAGATGCTCTGCATTTGCAGCCATACTTGCAGAGTAAACAAAATCAAGAGGCATGTGAAATATGGACTCTTCCATTTCATTCCTAGCAAGAATTGTTTGCTTAACTGCAATCACTGCTGCCTGTGCAAACCCCTTCAATTCGGAGAGTAAAATAAATATATTAATCTGGGCATCATCACCAAGCTGTGGCTTGCCAAGCCTTTAGGAAGTGTGATGCTCTTGATTCTTGAGCACTACTGGGCATGTGTTTAATGTTTCATCACCTGAAAATGTTGTTTTTCTGAATGTTAATGGTGGTTGGGACAGCCTTAAAATCCGTGGTGCTCTGGTATTACTGCTCGTAATGGGAAAAATCTGTGATCTAGCCTGGCAGTATTTGAAAGCAGGATTTTGTTAGCCAGGATGAAGTTCTGTGCTGAGGTTGCAACAAGAATAACCCTAAGTGCTTGGGTATGGCTGAAAATTGTTGTGTATTCCTCTCTTTGCAGCAATGATGTAGACATGGAAACAGATCACTACTCCAATGGGGTTGCTGAGACTTCATCCAATGGCTTCCTAAATGGTAGTTCTAAACATGATCACGAAATGGAAGAATGTGACACAGAAATGGGTCTGCAGTGATATTTCTTACATTTTTATTAAGTGATGGCAACAAGGTTATGTTTTTACTTGCAATGCTTCCCGACTTGAAAATTAGGGGTATGAGCTGGGAGCTTAGTTTTGTCTTGCTGCTGTTGAATGTCCATCTTTTAACACTGATTTAAGGGGAACTGATGTTTGTGTGACCGCAGGGGGAAGTAGACACGGATGCCACTTTAAATATCCATGAGTTTAAGAAAATACCTTTGAGGTCATTTGACTGCTTTAGGACACCTCAAGGTGTTAGGGCTAACAGTTGCTTTTCTGTCTTCCTTCCATCCTTTTATCACCATCGTCCTCATGGCATCCTAGCAGGTGCCAGTAAGAGCTGAAACTCCAAATCACTTCTATTTGAAGAATACAAACTCTGTAGGCGTTAATAGGGAATGCTCAGGGAAAAATAAGTGATGGAAAAGATTGTTTTCCACCAAAGAAATGCCCTGTTCTGTATCGTGCAGCTCTAAAATCAACCCCATTTAACTTGGGCTGTTTCACGCTCGGTCTTGCTGTTATGTGAGGTGTTTATGCAGGTACCCTGTGTGCCAGGACACCTTGGCCAGAGACCCTACAGCCCTCCCTGACCCCGATGCGGTGGGTGGCCCCGCGGTGCTTGTTCCGGGCGGGAGCGCCTGCGAGGGGCAGAATCCAGCCTGACACTTCTGCACTTGCAGAGCTGCCTCCGAGGTGGCCTTAATGGGGCCTCGAGTCTGCAGGCTGCTGGAAACGCCAGCCTTGGGACAGCTTCTAAGGCAAACCAAGTGAAAAATGACTATTCTAGTACCTGTTTGAAATAGTGGCCAGTACTGTGCAGTACAGCAAGGTTAAAATGAGAAGGAGGAGCCGTTCTGTACCGCAAGGGTAGATGAGAATTCTGTTAGTGCTGTCGATGGGGGAAAGGCAAGGACTAGGTAAATCTCTTTCATACAGGTTACTTAAATTGTTGGAAAAGGTTTCTGAGAAACCAAGGATTGATATACTGTTCACAAACTATGAATATCCTCTGAAATCACTGGCATTTGTGAAATAACTTGGAAATAATGAAGTATACAGCAAAGAAAGTGCTTCTAATCTTCTCCTAGGTTACAAAGGAAGTCTTAAATATCCAAGTTATTAAGCAAATGCATTTTGCTAGGAGCATGGACTGTATACTAGATCATTTGGGAAGATTTTATATACCTGAATAGCTTTTGCTCGTGGCTTTATAGCAGTGTCTGTCTGGGCAGTTTGGGCAACTGAAGTATTTCCTTATTTTATCCTTGTTTTCCTTATTTGGCAGCTGGTCTGCCATGGAAGTGCCCTGCCAAACAGCTGAAAAGGTAGCTCAAACTGTGGGCACCTCTAGAGCCAGGGAGCAGAGGCTGCTTCCCAAGGAAGCTCTGCCTGCATGCAGAGCTGCCCCAGGGAAAATAAATAAATAAATGCACACCTCCTTAAGCCAGCAGTTCTTTAAAACAAGAACGCTTCTCTCTGACATCTTGGTTTAGCCTGCAGTTAATTTAAAAATAACCATGACCAGACAAAAAGCCCCTCTACAGCATCAGGAGCCCGGCTTTGCAGTTAACAAAATCCCCTAAGCTACTGCTAGTTAAGGAAGGGGCCCTGTAGTGCCCCATTTTGCCACGCTCGCTGGCTCTGCGTGTTTCCGTCGGAGAGAGCCGGTGTGTTCTGGACGCAGCCGATGCCGTAGCCCCCCTTGGCCTTTGCTGCCGCCGCTCTTCGTGGTGGTGACGCCAGTGTCGTTCTTGCAGAAGTAGATTCCAGCCAGCTACGGCGCCAGCTCTGCGGGGGCAGCCAAGCGGCTATCGAGAGAATGATCCACTTTGGGAGAGAGCTGCAAGCGATGAGCGAGCAGCTCAGAAGAGAGTGTGGCAAAAACACGGCGAACAAGAAAATGCTGAAGGTAGGGCCTGCTGCGCCGGAGCCCCTCCACGCGCTGCAGGAAGATGTCTTCAGGGAATGAGGACTGTCTATATAAATATATATATATATTGGGGGCTAGTAAATACACTTGACGAGCCTCGTCTTTCCACAGGATGCATTCAGTTTACTTGCGTATTCCGATCCCTGGAGCAGTCCTGTGGGAAACCAGCTTGACCCGATACAGAGAGAACCTGTGTGCTCTGTGCTCAATAGTGCAATACTAGGTAAGGCCGCGGGGCGCCGTGCGGGGACAGCTGCCCGGGGCTGTGGCGTGGCACTAAACTGAAGCCTGTTGAGGGAGCTCAACAGTCAGTGGATGGAAAATGCTTTTTGTTTTCAAACTACTTGGTGCTGTGCTCACTGCTGGCGCCTTGTGGGGAATCCGAGCATGTCACCTCCCTGCCTGAAGCTGGGGTGAGCTGTGCAGGCCAAGGCAGGGCTCCTGGCCTTACTCGAGCAGGCTTAGCCCTTAAGCCGGCTTTGCGCTGCTCTCCCCGCACAGCGCCGCTGCTCTCCCTTCTCTTGCAGAGACTCACAACCTGCCAAAGCAGCCGCCGCTGGCGCTCGCCATGGGGCAGGCGTCGCAGTGCCTGGGCCTCATGGCGCGCTCGGGCATCGGCTCCTGCGCCTTCGCCACCGTGGACGACTACCTGCACTAGCGGGGTGCCCGCGGCGCGGCATCGCGCCGCTGACTGGAATCGGGGGGTTTAATTATGTACTAAGGACGAGTCTGTCGCTTTATGTTGCTTCCTAGTTTACAGCATGATGCAAAATGATTTCTAACTTAGCGTTAGGAGAAAAATTTCCATCTTCAAACCTCTTGGGACAACTAAGAGTCAAGAGTATCACTGATAATGTCCGGCATCCAGATTGACAATTACAAATCCTTGAAACGATTGTCCAAAAACAAACCAAAAATCCTGCTGCTCCGGGGCGGGGCGGGAGACTCCAGGCGTGGATGTAGTATTAGCAGGCGGGTGACGTCAGGGCCGAGCAGGACGACTTGCCAACCTCCACCCCCATTGTTACATAGTTCAATCAGTGTAATTTGCAAAATGCATAAACACCTGATGGTTTGGATATCTAGTGTTGATGGGAAGAAATGATATTTTTTAATGTGTACTGTAAAACTTGAATTACTCAGGAGCTGAGTGAATATGTTTGTTGCTACTTACAATCCCAACCTGTTGATCTTAGTAGTTTTTTTGTTTTAACATGGTCTTTTCAACTTTGTTTCCTTGTTTAACTTCAGACAGCTTCTGTTGTGTAGACTCACCAGTTTAACTGTTGTATTATAACAGTATTACATGTCAACACAGTGTGGTTATGACCTATTTATATAAAAACCAAATATTTAGTCAATTTACAGTCTTAATTTAATCTTTGTACACCTTGCATTTTTAAAAGTGCTTAAATAGTACTATATTGCAATAAAATGTAGTGATACCATACTTAACCAGCCATTAAAAATTTACTTCTACAGCTATGGTAGCATGGACTTGTATGCTACATTCTGTGGGGCCTGCAGCTGCACCCTAGAACGGGGCTTCTCCCCCGGCCTTGCAGCAGTGCAGGGGGCCAGACCCCAGCCACCTCTTGCCTCTGGTGGCTGCATGCAGGCGTTGAGCTCAGTGCTGAGCTAGGGCTTTAGGGTGTTCTTGCAAAAACAAGTGGTGGTGTTGCTGCTGCAGGCCCTGCAGGGAGCTGCGGCTGCTCCAAAGCCCCCAGGCCTCTCCTGGCACGGCTGAAAAAGCAGGAATAACGTGCACGAGGCAGTGTGTACAAAACGATTCCTCTTTATTCTCTGCCCGCTTGCCCCTGAAGGCAGCTCTCTCCCGCTGCTCTGGCAGGGAAGGGCTGCTGTGGCCCCGCAGCCGCTGCCCTCCCCTTGTCTCAGGGGGAAGGGGAGGCAGTTGCCGCAGGCGCCACTCGCTGCACCCCAAAGCGCTGCAGAGTGCAGCAGGAGGGATGTGAAAAAGTCTCATGAGCAGCAGCTGCTGAGATGTTACCCCTCAGTACAAGGCCCTGACAGCACCCCCTGGAAGAGTCATCTTCACACAAGGCTCTTCATGTTTGCTGCCAGCCAGCACTTCTTAAACTTGGCTGCTTTCTGCTTTTTTTCAAGTCCTTAGAAAAGAAAGACTCGAGCTTTTTCTTGGAGCAAAGCACAGATGACTGTAGCATTTCAAGCCCAAGCAAGAGCCTCAATGGGGAAGTAAGAAAGCAGAATGTGGCTACCAGGAAGCACTGACCAGGAGGGCTAGAGCTGATAGACGGGTCTGTTGTCATTATTATAGTTTTGCAGTTTTACAGGGAGAACAAGAGCTATTTTTGTCCCTCTTCACACAGAACTTCTATGATCCTGGTGTTGGTGCAATATGATACCTACTTAAAAATATATAAAATAACTCAGGAGTTTATAAACTCAAGCAACACTCCCTATGCTACTGAAGTAGGCAAGTACTTCTAGCCCAGCTGCAGCTGCTTCTCAATGTAGGAAGAAGTAGGTAAGGGGCTGGGTGGCTCTGCACATCCTCCCTCCCTGCCCCTCAGGTGCGCAGCAAGCCACAGGCCCAGAGCAACAGGAAAGTTGGGAACAGGTGAAAAGGCAGCTCGAGGCCCACAGCCCTAGGCAAACACTCGCTTGCGCTTTTTACACTTACCCCAAGTCTTGTCCACAAACTGAACGGCAGCCTTTTTAACTGGGTTTTTCTTGTTTTCAAGTGAAAAAAACTCATTTGCTGAAAGGGAGATGAGTTCCTAGTGAGGTTAAGCAAGTCCCCAAGGTTACCAGTGGCCCGGGCAGACGGGAGGGCCGTGCCCGGCCCTGCTCACCATCCACGCGGTTGGAGCCCGGGCCGTAGAGGTGCTTGTACAAGAAGGCCTGGGCCGTCTGCTGGTGGAGACCCATGCCGGGCTCGTCCTTCAGGCGCACAGCCCTGTAGCTGCCTTCCAACCTGCTTAAACCAACCACCGCATGTAAGTTCTGGCAGCTGCTCAGGAAGCCCCAAAAACAAATTCTCTAACTTTGGTATTGAGCGCAACAGAGGGTTTCTAAGCCTGATTGAGACTTAGTACCAGTCCTGCCCTGGAAAGCTTGGAAAAAAAAGCAAACCCAAGGCTAAGCCCTTGCCATTACTGCCTTGAGTTTGCTAGTCTGTTAGCAAGGGTTCCCAGGAGTCTGCAAGGGGCCCTGGAGAAAGCTGCCCCTCTGGAGGCGCAGCAGACACAAAACACACGCGCCTCCCCCAGAGGACATGAGTCTGGTGTAAGAGACCCTTCATGGCTGTGCTCAGGCCTGCCTGCATCTCATCCCTGCTCCAGGAACACGCCCATAATTCCTCTTTTCCACGGCTGAAAAAGAAATGTGGCATTTCTGGTCAGTAAGGAAAGCTCTCTCTCACACACACACACGCTCGGTCCTTCCGTGGTGCTGCTACTGTTGCTTAAACTTCTAGGCACACAGCAAGAAGCAAACAGTACTGAAGTCCAACACACACAAAGAGTTCATCTTTGCTCCTTTTCTTTTAAAGTTATAATGTCTTTAGCAAGCTTTGAAATTAACTAATAGTAATTTGATTAATAATCATTAAAGTCCTGTAATGAGACTTAAAAAAGTATTACCCAAAAATAAACTTTAGAGAAAAAAAACAAGCCACCTCCCTCACACACCCCAAATCCCCCAACCATGGGCAGTGGTCAGAGGACACCCCCCCCCCCCCCAAGCTGCTCTGAGGAGCTGGGATGGAAACGGGGCCCTGCAGCCTCCTGAAAGACACTGTTTTTTACAAGCAGGCTGCTGCAGAAGCGCATTAAAGGGGCCTTTATCCCACAAGAACAAGAGCGTGAAGAACATCAAGGGAAGAACAGAGGGGAGCAACACAATGATAAAGCAGCAACCCCCTTCTCCCCGCAAGCTGGAGTGCAGCAGTCCCGGGAGTGGCACGGGGACTCCTGCTTCCAGCTACCTGGAATCCTTGGGCTTGGCCTTCTTGTGCTCACCAGTGACACATCCCGTGCTCTTCTTTGCAAGCTTGGCTTCAGGGCGGTCATTTAAAACAAACACAGACACTTAATAGACATACACAGAAGAGCAACAGGAAGAGGCCCGGGGGAGACACCAAGTCAATCCCCAAGAGGGGGCTGCAAGGGCTACAACCCGCTGGCCTCAGAGAAGGGCTGTTACAGGAGGGGAAAGGACAAGACAGGTCCACAGGACCAGAGCTATTTGGCCTCCTTGCTCTTACACATTGACCACAAAAAAAAAAAAAAACCAACACAATCCCACAGAACACAGCAGCTACGCAGACATGCTAAGTGTCCACCATGGGCTTTGCTCTCCCTAGTAAATACATGGTGCGGAGACAAAAAAACACAGCAGCAGCCTAAGCTCAATCTCTACTTGGCCAGCATTTCCTTTTAAGAATAAAAGGGAAAAAAAGTAGCACTTAAACACGCCCTCTATTTTATTAAAGAAGGTTGGAATGAGAGAATTGTAGGAAAAAACGGCCAAAGCATTTTTTTTTTTTGGTAAAATATTTTGAAGAACAGGTCAGGAGAGCTTAAATACTCATGAGGCTACAGGAGTCTGTTTTTTCTACTTGAGGATTTGAATAATGTTACATAATTTTTACTGATACCATGAAATTACAGTATTTTTTATGTAAAAAAATATATATAATCTCCCATACAAAAGTAGTTTCCAGCTCTATTTAAAACCATCCTTACAACTTCATTGACTGGTAAAGACTTTGTATACTATCACCTGCTCATTTTTTTTCCTTATACATTCCGGGCTTAAGTGTGAAAGGCTCTGGAACCAGAGGTTGAACACGACCCCTACCAGCTTTGGGCTGGTGTTTCAGCATTGGGACAACGGGACAACCAGTATCTGTGCAGCCCGCAGCCCCCCAAAGGGCCTTGGCACAGACACCTCCCCCTCCGCAGCTCCCCGTACAGACCGGGAGCCCCGAGCTGCGGGGCAGGACTCACCTGGGCCCGCGGCGGGAGCGGCCGCCTCATCTGGCCTGCGAAGCGAAGCAAAAGCGGCGCGTTATTATCGCCCTGGCAGAGCGCGGGCGCAGCCAGAGCGGCCGCGGCG